ACAAAATACTAAGATATCTCAAAGAAACTCTCGACTATAAAATTTTGTTTCCTACCGAAGATGAAGGAAAAGAATGCAAACTATTATATTACACTGACTCAAGTTTGTGTGGTGATGCTGAGGATAGATATTTCACAGTTAGTTATGTGTTTATGCTACGTGGTGCACCAGATGCTTGGAACTCGAGAAAAAAACAAGTAGTAGCATTATCTTCATGTGAGTTTGAGTAGTTAGTTACCTCTCTCTATGCATGTCAAAACAACATGGATGGTGAATTTTGTCGAAGATATTGCAAGGAAGGATCATGGAGCAATGACCATGAAGATCGACAACGTGTCTACTATCAATCTAGCGAAGAATCTGATAGCACATGGAAGAAGAAAACACATCAAAATAAGGTTCCTTTATCTTCGAGAACTGTAACACCCCGTTCTAACCCAACGCATATTTAAAATAAATCAAAATCAGAGTGCACGAATTTTGCAGGCATGACGACCGTCATGGAGTCGTGATGACCGTCACACGCACAAAAACTGAGACGCAACATAGGTGTCACATATTCGACTTACAAAAACATACATTTCACCATTTAATTGGACAACATGTATTCAGTGATGATACATAGCACATAATCTTGGATGAACAACTAATAACAACTCACATAACATCTTAATTACATAGCAACATATTCATTTGCAGCGGAACATAATGCACTTTCAACATTTATGATAATCAACGTGATACCAGAAATTTACGACAGAACTCCATTAAAATTCAGCAAGTAATCATCTCGCTTATATTTAATACAACAACTAATTTCAACCATAAAATCCGAATTTCCGATCCATCGATCTATTGCGTACAACCAATATTTGGCACATTAACAAAGCACCCAACTTAATAAAATACTTCATAAAATTCAGCAACAAGAAAATAAATAAGAGCAATAACAATAATCGTTCATCCCCCCAAGAGTGCTACGTATCAGAGCGACCAACGACAACTTAAACGACAAAGCGGAACTTCTTTCCGAACTACCTGCAAATTACCACCAGAGGAGGTAACATACAACGTAAATGGTGAGATATCAATAATATAACATAGAGCATGATAGAAAACATGCCAGAAACTCATCACAGCATTATAAGTTTCGAAATCATAAACATCATCGACAACAACTGCGACAATCCATATCTCACGTAAAACAACATTAATATACAACTAACATAATTATGCAACTTCATGTGACTCAACAATGCGACTCAACTGTGCATATGCATGTGGTACCAATTTTCCATCAAGGCCGCCAATACAGGCCATCGCAGAATTTGCCACTAAGGGCCGCCAATACAGGCCATCGCATAATTTGCCACAAGGGCCGCCAATACAGGCCATCGCTAATATGCTATGCCATGAAATACCTCTATTATGGACCACAACATCACCGACTATGCAACAAGGCATCAAGCCTACAACAAAACGTCCATAACAGAACATTGCTATTTCATATGCATCATATGTTCATCATCCCAACTATTCATGTAAAGGAACATTACAACATCGTATCAACAATTAAGAATTCAGCATGTTATCGTAATAACAACATTACGGCGTTTTTTCACACAATTAATTACAAATCAATCACAACCAGGTAACTGCCCTTTTTGGCCCATTAGGGAAAACCATTAAAGTGTTGTACGAATAACTGTATAGCATATTCGTTCTACGTATTTGCCCATAAGGAAAACCTTAGAGCATCGCAGTAATAACTACATAACACATTCATTCCTACATAGAAATTTTGTCCCATTAGGGAAACCTTTTCCTTAATATTTATCGATTAACGAAAACTATACCTATGACTCGATTCCCTACATGAATTCGATCATACTCCTAGTTATAGAATTGAACCCCACCCTTACCTTAGAATTGAGGTCAATTCCACGCTTTCCGATTCCGCTTCTGCTCTACGGTGATTTTTCTGCAGAAATCTTCTGAATTCGCCGATGGATGATTCTTCGCTCTCCACTTCTCTCAATGCGTAACTTCTCTTTTCCGTCTTTCCTTTCCCAAAAATGATATAATTGAGGGTAAAAGAGTCTACGAGAATATATTTTTGCTACAAAATCTCATTCCACCAGAACACGTTCAAATTCTGCATAACTGCAGTTTTCGCTCGTGTGACGGTCGTCACACTCCTATGACGGTCGTCATAGCAGCAAAATTTCATTTTTTTTCCAGATAGAACATCTTTTTAGCTTTCCAACGCTTCGAACGGGGGTCAAATCCGACTTACGGATCAAGAGATATGATTTTTCGAAGTTTTCCGACAAAACCAGAATTTTTCCGACAAACCAAAATTTTTCCGACATCCTCGTACGACTATGACACAACGAGATACGGCAAAAATCGCAATTAAATTTAATTGAAATGAAACGGGTGTTACAAGAACAAGTAGCTGATGGGAAGCTAAACTTAGAACACTGCAATGATGAAGGTTGTGTTGATCAAATTGTTCAAGAGATTAATACAATGATGAATGTAGATAACTTAGATACAATGAATTAGGTAGTGTGTTATTAAATATGTAATTCTTTATGTTAAACATGTTGTAGATTCGACAGAGTCGAAGTCGAATGTATTCAATAGAGTAGTAGTCGAATATAGTTTTTAGTAGTCGAAGTATGTAGTTGTCGAAGGAGCTAACTTCGACAAAGTTAAAACTTAGTATTTGTTTTGTAACAATTGTGTTAGTTAGAGAGATTACTTGGCGTGTAATTAATCTGAATTATAAATAGGGAGATACCTTATGTTTGTAGAGTGAGGAGAGAGAACAAACTCATAATTATTCAATAAAATACTCTTTCCTCCCAAAACCCTCATTTTCATCTTTCTCTCTTTTCTCTCTCAAACTATCTCATTTCATTAAATCTTTGTGCGGTGGAATCATCTTACAATTAAGGTGTGGTTGAATCATTCAAGTGAAAAGTGAAGAACGAGAAGCGTGATCAATCAGAAAGATTGATTCTCGTTCAATCAAGATTGATTCAAATTATCTCTAAAATTGAGGTTTAATTCCAACAAAATTAATATTGACTTGAACTTACTGTTAATGAATCTTAGATCATGTGAGAAGTCTCGCAAGATGAGAATGGTGAAATTGTGTTGGCGACAACATGGAACTTCGATGGTTTCGATAATGCTCTTATAGTTGAACGCCAAGTGCCGATCCTTCTCATAAATCTCACAAGGGAGAACAACATAAAATATATCATCTTTGCAACTAATCGCAAAGAAATTTGCAAAAACTTGAAAGGAAGAAAAAAAAGGTTGGGATTAAGCCGCATTTAGGATATTTTTTTTCTTTCTAAAAAAGATTAAAGATGAATTGAAATGGTTCGAAAATGCTTTAGTTAAATTTGTCCTCAAAGATTATAAATGAGTCGCTATGAGATAACTATTATACTATTTAGAATCTAAATCATATTTGAATCACTGATTTTTTCATTATAATTTTCAATTTGAATTAAGAAGATTAGATTTTCGCATTATAAATTGAATTAATCAACTTTAAGATTGATTCCATTATTTTATTTTAAACTCAGTTTTAAATTTTAATGTTACAAATTTAATCCAATTAAAACCAATTTTCACTAACCAAATAGACTCTGATTTAAAAAATGTTGTGACTTGATGTTGTGCTCTACACTAAGGTTAAGGTGAATCAATACAAACAAACATAAGTATTATAATCAGTTGATCATCAACACTAGAAGAGTACTTCCCACAACTCCATCGTTGAATAAATGATTTAAATGAAACTAATAGATGTCTATGAAGTCTGATCCCAAGTCCAAAATCAAGGGCTGTCATACTCTCAAATGAATGACTCCATCCAATCCAATCCAATACACACACGGGTTGACAATATTGAATAGTAAAATCTAAGGGAAAAACCAGAACAGTATATGTATTTTCTTCTATGTCGCTATTATAATCGGAGATCTCCAAAAAACGAAGAAAAGAAAGGACACTGAGAAACACACAAGAAAACAAAGAACATAATCCAAACTCTGCACTAGGAAAACACATAGATGCAGAGTTATTTATGCAGTTGCAGCAGAATCTCGGGCTAAACTACAAAGCCCAGATTAGGGAGATGTGAAAGGTGAATGAAACAACCCAACCCAACCAATTTAGCTAACATCATCTTACTTTGAGTAACAGAAACCTTGATTCCTAAACGACACTAGCTATTCGACAAATAACCCCAATCTCCAACATACGACACCGTTTCTAATCTCTATTCTATTCATTTTCCTTCCGTTTACCAATACACATAAAACTTAGCTACCTAGCAAGGTTTGACTTCTCACTAAGACAACCAAACCCGACACATATTCCTACCTACTCTCTCATCGTACAACACAACACCAACATTAACTACTATTATAGTCCACTTCACCAAATCAAACCCATACAATAACATATTAAGGGTATCAAAGTTTTCAATTCAAATTTAGAGAAAATCACAAAGATCAACGTTGTCGTTTGATTATTTTCATTTTCAACGCTGTGAATATTTTTTCAATGTGCAGTAATTTCTATTCTCCGTTTCGACCACGGTTTCTTCTTTCCATGCCATTGCCAAAGATTAAACTACATACTGCACGCCGTTTCACATCCCTTCTTGTACGTTGTCGTTTTTTAATTTTTTTACATACACGCTCCATTTTATTGAATGTTGACATTCAATTTAATTCAACCAAACCAAAGGTGCAAACACACGAGGGTACTTGAAAATTGCAATATTTGAGAATGAGTAAACAATTGAACCAATTCATATCTTAGTTAATACTAGTACATTCAATTATAATAGTAGTAATAATAATATATGTACTGAGAAAGAAGAAAACAAGAAAAAAAAAAGTAATAATGTTTCGGTTTTTCGCGGGGGCGATGATTACGGTGTGGTGGTGGTGTTGGTGTTATATTTTTTATTAGAAACGCTGAGAAACTGAGAGGTGGTTGTGACGCCGTCTAACGTGAGTTGAAACAATGGAAACTAAGCCACCGAGTGGTGGCCTCATCTTTGACCTATAAACCATTTCATCGTACGGTCTTCTGTAGAATTTAACGTACGGGAAAAATGATTCTCGGCCTCTCTCCACCTTTCCGTTGTCTCGCCGGAAAAACGTCGCCGGAGATTGGAGGAAGGAGGAAGTAGTCCGGTGAGGAACCGTGACGCGCTGCGGCAGTGGAGTTGAAGGGAAGAGACCTTTCCTGCTGGCTGGCGGGCCCAGCGGGTTTCGTGCGACTGGAGATGCGAACGAGAACGAGCGAGCGTTGAGTGGTGAGATCAATGACGCTGGAGAGGGACTAGTGGGTCCCACTTTTGATGCCGACGTGTCGCCTAAGCTTAGGTACCATGGCTTCAGTGAGTCAAGCTGATGGGAAACTGTGAAGGAGAAGCGTGAAGACGAGCAGGAACCGATCTTGGCCGTTGATTTGATAGTCGATGGATCGAATCGGAGGGATGAGGCTCGCGGGTAGGCGGAGAAATCGTTGTAGTCCATCGATTCTTCGAAATCCAACGATGATACTATCGTCGTACACGTTGAAAGCTCAACAAATGGACGAACACCCTGCACATGCACACACACAATTATTCATAATTTGAATTAAATGGAAATACATGTCTTTTTCAATTCCATGCCTTTAGATTACATTACAAGGTTGTAAAGGTAAAATAATAGTGTACTAGTACTTTCTCCATACCCTATAAAACAAACCCTCAAAATTCCAATTATTAACTCATAGGTTGAGTTTGAATTTAAGATAATGTAGTGAACTAGTTCTACCTAATCATACACAATAAGTCAATATTTCATCAAACCAAATCCAAAACAAAATTGTTCATAAGTGGTACTTTTCTTGACATTGACAATTTGACACATTCATATTCAATTACAATTACAATGGATTTGGTTTGGTTCGGATGTAATGGTATAACAAGAGCCTACATAGCCTTGAGGAAAATATTGGACCACCAAGAGTGGTCCATATTCATTTGTAGTGGTTCATTTCATAGTCAAACAAAAGGGAAACACATTGCATAGTGATAGTGGACACAGCACAACTTACACAAGACAGCAACGTAAAATGTAGTGGTCAACCAGAAAGGGTATTGTTATTGGTGTTTAACTGGCAGTGGCTAAACAGTACTTGAAAATAGACTAATACTAAAATAAGCCATGAAAGGAATTTGAATTGTGCTTGTTTACCTTCCACAAGTATGCAAAAAGGGACGGAGGGTCAATCACAAACACCTTGCATAGCCGTCCTGGATAGTACTCGCCCACAATTTTCAGCGATCCCAACAACAAGTTCATAAAACCAGATGCCGATCTATAAAAACCTGAAATAATCAATCAAATTAAACACGGTTAGTTACTGGTTAAACTTAAATCAGAGTGATAATTAAGACTAGTGTGAAAAATGTAGTAAAAAGCAGAAACATTGCTGTGATGCTACAACTATAGCATAATTTAAGGAAGCAATAAAGATTGAAATAGACCAATTGTGATAGAGAATGTGTAACTAATGTAACAATAATGACCACAATTCCCAATAATACCCTTTGCAACATTAATTGAAAGGTTAATTCTATGACAGACCCATGAAGGGCACTCCGGACACATTCTGTTTCATACTGCTCCCTGAGGTCCTGCCTGCCTGTGTATCCTAACAAACAGAGTTTTCTAAATGCCTGCTCCACTCTTTCTCTCTCTCTCTCTCTGATTTATTGTTTCTGATCACTCAATCTTTTCTGTTTCTTACACATTTTATTTCACTAATATGTAATTTTCACATCTCTGTTGTTTAAATGGCATTATGGAAAATTCGGGTAATGTTTAGGTGTGGGTGGAGTACTACTTACTTGCATCGAAAAGCATCACAAACTGTTCTACGTTTTTTGGCATGCTTGAAATGCCAACTTCCATTGTGAATGCCAGTAAACGAGTGAAAAACCTTCAATATTACAAAAGAAAAAGAAAAAAAAAATAACATTGTTTAGTCCCATGAATATAGCAGAAAATAATAAAAACTCTAAAGATTTAGGTATAAGTGTAATTACAGTTTCTGAGAATGCAACTTTTGATAGTCTTGTTTCATGCGGAAAATCTGTATCCACCCAAATTCAAATTACAAATTATTACTAACTCAGAAAAAAACAAAACAATCAAACTCAAAAAGAAGTGAAAATTACCAAAACAGGTCTGGATTCATCGTCATGACCAGCCACATAAGCCAATCCTTCAGCTAATTCAGCTGAGAAATCATCTGCTATCAACTGATCTGTATTTTTTATTTCAAAAATAAAATAAAAATGAAAATCCAATCATTATAAAAATGAAAAGAAAAAAATAATAATAATAAGATTTATTCTTTGTGGGGTTTGTTTCTGGGGTATGGAGAATGGTATAATGATTACATCTACTACAATAGAGTATAGGAAGTGGGGTGCATATTTCTTTTGTTACTTTAACGCTTAATTCAAAGGAAGAAAAAAAAGCAAGATTCTTTTTCTTTGGCGAGAGAAAACAAAAAGAGAAAACGGCGTGGTTTTCACAACGGGTAAAAAAAGCTTTTCTAGTTAGAGAAGAAGAAAAAAGAAACACTATACTATACCAGTAACAATAGTATCTCTCCATGAAAGACAAGCTCTGAGTTGTTTAGCAGCTTTTTTCACATTATCTCCCTTCATTTTCAGAAACCGTTTCACACAAGCATAGTTACAGAACTTCTCCTATATCACAAAATAAGAACAATGGAGTTTGAGTTAAGAGGCTATATAGTAATAATGATAATGATGAAGAAGATAAAAGTAGTTACGAGAGAGTGAAATGAAGAAAACCTGTTTGACAGTGAGAGGAGTTTGTTTTCTGATGAGTTCTAGAACAGCTTCAACCTTAGTTGTTTCCTTGTTGCTACTACTAGTGTTGTCTAATTTCTTCCCCATTTCGAGAAAAAATGTTGACTATATGAAAGTGATGAGTTAGTAATAATTACAGAACTAGAGAACACAAAAGACTATTATTCCAAACTTCTGTTTCACGCAACCATGAATGAGGTTTTCTTGTCAATAATAACTCAGCAGAGAGAGAGAGAGTATGTATAATGTGATGAGAAACTTGTGAAGAGTTTATTTATAGTGAAACGACGGATTATAACGCCGTTACATAAAGGAGAGAGAAACTAAAGGGTTTTTCAAAACGTCAACACTTGTTTTTTTTTGTTACTACAGCTATTTACTTTGAGTCAATGTCTGTGAAAATGGGTGGACCCTACTTACGACTGTAGTTATCCCTCCGACAGGATACGTAACGGAAAACGCCGACTTTGTCAATTAGTTTAATTTAACTATGGCTATTACTGATCTATATATAAACAAGTACTACTACTAATCATGAATTAGGCAATCATTCAAATATGCATAAGATGAAATTACTTACTAGTACTTGAAGTTATATTGGAAATGAAATTAATTAAGAGTGATTTTTGGACAAACAACTTAACTAAATTCTTGTTACTGAATGATTAAATTTATTACCATTTATATGCAAATTGTATCTATATTCAACGAGAAAAATCTGAACTTTGCCTAAGGGCCACCAATTATAAGATTTATGTTAATAAGATAGACACTTTTTGTTTTTTAATCTGTTCTTTAATGACAAATTTAAATCACATATGACTAGCATTAATAGAGAAGAATAATGTAGAATTATCATAATAAATTCTCAGCGGTTTAAAAATATTGTCAACAAGTCGAACTCCTGGAATAAAGTTTCGCAGTCAATTAATTTGAAGAATAACCTCAAAGCATGTTATATATTCAACCTACTTCACACTCTTCATGATATTAATCCTCCATCCAAAATATACACATAATCAAATGTTGGATTTCTTGTATTTATACAACCAGTCAAATTTGAATTTGAATATCCAATTACTTAAAGATAATCAAATCTCATATAAGTAATCATGTGATCATTCGTCCCTTGCAAATATCTCGGTACTTTATTTTTGTTTTTGTTCCAATTCATTCTTTAGACATTGTATCAAACTAAATTTGTCTTTTTTATAAATTGAAACGAGAGATGGTGTATATTATTCATTCTAAACATCACTAAAACTTTATTGATATATGTTTTCTAAGATAAGCCTAACAACTCAAGATATCTATCACAAATAATTATATTCAAATAACATAACTTATCTCATATGATAAGTCAAGATTATTAGTTGCAATAAAAATATCAACAACATATAAATATATAACAATAACATTACTCCCACCAACCTTTAGATATATACATTAATCAACAATGGTTTCTCTAAATCTAAAGGTCATAATAGTATCATCTAACTTGCAATATCATTTGCGATAAGCTTTCTTATAACACCATATATTGACTTCTTGTATTTTCATATATTTGATATAATTCAATTTCATAATGAGTCACAAGTGCCACGAAAATTGAGTGAACATTTCTTTGAAACCAGTATAACATTTCCTCGTAGTTAATTGTCATATTTTGAGTAAAAATTTGGCAATAACTTAATTGTCATATACCTTGTAACATTTGATATTATCATAAGAGTCAAGTTTAGTCTTAAAGACCCACTTACACACAACTTTATTCTGTCTTTAAGATAATTCCTCAAGATCTCATACACAATTTTGTTTCATCAATTTAAGCGTTTCTTTCATAGTATTCAATCATTTATTAGAATTATTACCAATAGTGATTTCTACTGGATCAGTATCAAGTCATAAGTCAATTTCTTACTCAATTAGATATACCATATAATCATCTAGAATATCATATCTTCAATCTTTTTAGGATCTCCTTAATGTTATTTCCCTTGGTTGTTCTTGTAACACTCATATATAAATACATATGTCTAGAAGATACATATTATACATGTTTGTAAGTTTGGTACTAAAATACAAATAAGTTTCTAGTAGCACATTGTATACATTACATGCCAAAACATAAAATCTAAAAACAATGGCACAATATTGTTTACTGTGAATTTTGATAAACAACCGCTGGTCTATCAATTTGGGCTAAAATTGACTAACTCGCAGGATCGACCATACTAAATCCTAGAACATGTGCTAAGTAAGGGATTTTAAGTTAAATTCTACTTTCGACCGGACCACCTCTTAGAAAAGCAAAATCCTTTAAGGGTTAAAGACAATAAATAAGAAAAAAATCAAGTAATGCGTCGAAAGTAAAGGCAAGAATGTAAAGTGCAATGAGGTAGAAGCTTTGAAAAGTAAAGTTGAAAGTAAACGGCTTTAAAATAACAACTGTAATGTAAAGGCGAAGAGACTACCGCCAAACTCCACGTTCGACTGTAATTCCTTTGAGAAATAACTGATTTTTGAAGATAAAAATGCAAGTAAGTAAATTGCTTGGAAAATAACTCTAATTAGAACTCCACGTTTGACTAGGGAATCTTTGAAAAGTAAATGTGCAGCAGAATTGTAAAGAGCAGTTTAAATGTAAAACTGAAAGTTTCAAAAGGGCAAGTAAGTTGTAAAGATAAATTGCATTGATAAGAAATGATTTGGTGTTGTATCACGTACATTCTCGTTAACTTGTTTCTCTACACGCAGGTACTCTGAGTTGTATGAACTAGTACAAAATGAATGAACACCTATTTATAGTGCTATAGAATAACTACTACATGGCGGTTGAGACTTCTTAACATGCTCTTTTGGCGCTTCTGATGGGCTAGAGACGTGTCTACTTAATGCGTCTAGCGGTATCTTACTGCAAGTGCACAGCCTATCGAAGTAATATTTAAGATTATCGATCCACAGGGATTCTATCGTTACGTAGTGCTAGATGAACTTCTAGTTTAGCTAAGGCGAATAGTTGTCACGATTGTTGTTGGTTTTCTAAGATTATTGAAGGAGGAATAAAATCTAGGTTTTTAATAAAATAATACTAAGACGGTCGGTATGTAATTATACTAACTTAGGTGGGTCAATCTAACCTAGGCTTATAAAGATGTTCACTTAATCTATTCGGTAGAGATTACTAGTTTGAATACCCTCAACTCACACTCTCGTGGTCTTGAATCAGATCTTATCCCTAAAGCCCTATGCCTGCTCTCGCTAGCCCATAAGTGTTTAGAGATAATTTTTGGAAACTAAATAATTCTAATTTATCTTAAAGCGCTCTCGCTGTATTTAATTTAAATGCCTAACTTTAGCTATCTGGTTAAAATCTCACACTCTCGTGGTCTTGACCCAACCTAATACCCTTTTCTTACTCTCGTAACGAAAAGGTCGAATTTAATTAAAAAGCATCAGCCAGAATGTTAAGCGATTAATTATTTTAGCCCATGGTTATATTTTACCGGTTAAGTTAGTTATAACTACATACCGCCCTAAGGTATTTAGCTACTCATCGAGGTTAAATCAGACTCAGAGTTAATTATCAGCTTTCTAATGGCAGAAAAATAAATAGACATTATAAATAAATTAAATTGCAATAACTGAAAAACCTGATTAACAAATATCTGAGTAGACTCCTTCTTCCACAGACCGGAAGGCGTGGAGTAGGCGGAAATAAAAATTAAAACGAATGCTGAAGGCTGGAAACAAATAAAAGTATAACAATTCTCTAATGTTGGAAATTGTTACACGGTTGGTTTGGATACAAATAAAATAAGGCAGAAAATAAAATGCTGGAATAATAATTCTGATGGTAAGGTAATTCGGCAGAGCTTCCGCAGGAAATTTGGATACTGAAGTCTCCCTGAATCCTCCTGAGCTGGTCCTATTTATAGAGCTTCCAATGGGCTGGTCCTTGGTCTTTTGCTTCTTGGGCTTTGCTGAAGTGGTTGAGAAAATGTTGGAAAGTGGCAGCAGAAAATGGGAGAAGTCTCCCTCACGTGCTGCCTTGAGGAGAATTACTAGGAGGAGTGGGCTTCACTGGTGGCTTGACGTAGTCTGAGTCAAAAAAATAAAGTTATATCCTTGTCACGGGCGTGACAAGGTCTTCACGCTCGTTGTTTGATGTTTTCAAGTGTCACGGTCGTGACTACTTCCTCACGGTCGTGATGGCCCAAAGTAAGGTGTCACGGTCGTGACACCCTTGTAACGACCGTGGTCGTAACAAATTATGCAGAGTTTATGCAGGCTTCTGTCTTGCTTCATTTCTTGTGGTTTCTTTGTTCTTTTCTTCTTAATTCATGATTTGGCCTCACATATCGATGTACCTGCAAAATAGTAAGAAAAACTCGAGGAATCGAGCGTTAAAACGGTGAATGCGCGGTAAAAGTCAATGAAATCTAGCGATATAACCGATGCGTTTTCTCGTCATCAAACTTCCCCAAACTTAAACCTTTGCTTGTCCTCAAGCAAATAGTCGGTTGAAAATCGGCGGACAAGATTTTATTCGCGCATACTCATAGCAAACCGTCCGGTGGATCGTTTCGTCGGATAGTCCGGTACTTTGATAGAACACTACCGATACACTAATGACATAGGCAACAGGCTATGTCGTCGACTTCCCGTCAAGCGAAACAATCGGCAATCACATTGCGATTTCACCTAGAGTTTTTCGATCTTATTTCACCCGGTTCGTTCTAGCGCAGTCACATTAAGCCCTTTGCCTTCGTACGCACGTAGTGGAGTAGCCGGTTAGCGATTTTGATCCTTTTTTAGCTCGGGGTCTGGTACACGAGTGTGGTAACCCTTCATGTTTTATCCGATGCGGAGGTTGTGGGGGATCGAGCCGTAGCCCGCCCTACCGAGTTCAGAACCAGTACCTCTGAACCAACCCGGAACGGAGTCCTTCTCATATTTCTCGTTTATTATCTGCGACCGTGTACTTTGGTGCAATCTCTTTTCATTTTGCATTGAGATACGAAGGATCATTATTGATTAGGTATCAAGCGCTTATATTCATCGGCTCCCCACGTGGTTTGTGTTCA